TGTTAAAGCTGTCAGTGAGCAATTTGGCTACTGCATCAATTAGCTTGCTCTGGAGCCATCCTTCCTGAGCTAAGACAAAAATGCATGAGCCAGAAGCCAAAAAACTGTGAGCTACCTAGCTATGGTGCTGGAGAAGACTCTTGAGAGTCCCCTGGACTGCAAGGAAATCAAATCAGTCCATCCTAAAAGAAATCAGCCCTGACTGTTCCCTGGAAGGCCAGATAATGAAACTGAAGCGCAAATACTTTGGCCACCCAATGAGAAGGGAGCACTCCCTGGAGAAGACCCTGATGCTGGGAAAGATTGATGGTCAAAGAAGAAGGGGGCGGCAAAGGATGAGATGGTTAGACAGTGTTATCGAGGCAACGAACATGAAATGAAGCAAACTCCGGAGCATGACGGAAGACAGGAGGGCCTGGCGTGAGGTGGTCCATGGGGTCGCGAAGAGTCGGCCTCGTCTGTGCGACTGAACAACAACAGCTCACACCGACTCAGCTTAGAGCTTTCAAGAGCAGATGATACTTGAAGGAAGGATCCCGGATGATAAAAGCGAACAGCAGGCGCACTAAGCAAGGAAATGCCAGTTGAAGAAGCAGGGCGAACGTTCCCATGAATTAGTCATGCTTCCTCAGAGAAAGCACCTGTGGGCCATTGGGACCCAAATGACATCCAATACAGGTATATGTCAAACAGTACTTTCACTCCGCCTCAGTTCATTCATTATCAGAAGGAACAGACTAAATATGTTAGAAGCACTGAACGGAATAAGATACAGGGGTACTTACTGCCAGTTCATTTGTAAGCTCTTGGATTTTGCGTTTCATCTCATCATATTCTCCATACATTTTCTTTCTTGCCCTTTCTAAGGTTAACCTGACCTGAGAACAGAAAAATTACAGTACTTAGTATCATGAGTCATGGGTCACTTCTGCTCAAAAACAGCACCGTCTGCACCCCCCCCCCCATTTGCAGGCTTCCTGAGCAGCTCAGAGGAATAGCCACCCCCCCACACGGCATTTCAGAGAGGCTGCAAAACTGAGCTTTTCAGGAGGATTCTTAATATTGGACAAGGTGGTCTAAGGGCTTATAAGGAAAATGGATTTTAAGATGGTTTTAGGAGAGTGTCCTTTTGTTAAGGTTTCTTTTAATCTTTATGTCATCGCTGATGCATGCTGTTTTTATTGTTACCCTCTTTAGGGCCCAGATAATGGGAAAAGGTGGGCTTACAGTGTTTAAAGAACACAAGGGAAGCCAATGCTGGATCAGGCCAGTGGCCCATCCAGTCCAACACTCTGTGTCACACAGCGGCCAAAAATAACAGGTGCCATCAGGAGGCCCAGCAGTGGGGCCAGGACACTAGAAGCCCTCCCACTGTTGCCCCCCCCCAAGCACCAAGAATACAGAGCATCCCTTGCCCCAGACCGAGAGTTCCTATCTATACCTTGTGGCTAATAGCCACTGATGGACCTCTGCTCCATATGTTTATCTAATTCCCTCTTGTAGCCGCCACCACCTCCTCTGCCAGTGAATTCCATGTGTTAATCACTCTTTGAACCAACACATTTAGGCATTTAAGTAGGAAGCAAAGTACTCACATCCCTTATGTATTTCATTTCTTCTTTCAGCTGGTGCATTGACCACCCATAGACCACCATTTCTTTGTTATGATTATTGTCGGATCTACGGACCACACCATAAACCACACCGTGCGATAAGTTCCCTGCAGGCAATCCATTGGGGACCTGGAAAAGATGCTGTATAAAAACAAAAAGTCCTATTTTTATCCTCAACAAAGGAAAAGGCAAAAGCAGAGATACAGTAAGGTAAAGGTTTCCCTTGCTCGAAAGCCAGTCGAATCCGACTCTAGGGATGCAATGCTCATCTCAGTTTCCAAGCCCAAGAGCCAGCGCTGTCCAAAGACGTTTCCATGGTCACGTGGCCGGCATGACTTAGACACTGAGGAGCACAGAATAAGGGTCACTTCTCCCCACTCTGAACTTAATTGAGAATACTAAGTATATTCTTTTAGGACTTCAGTTCTAAAAGAATTTTAGCCAATCTTATCTCAATCAACCCCACACACCATTATTTTCATAATATAGGTCCCTACTGCACTGTTGCGTCCTAATCCTGCAGCACTGCAGAATTCAGAAGTAGCATTTACATATCATAAAGGTAAAGGTTCCCTTGAATACTGGAATGTAGGAAGTGCTGTGCAGTGTTTAAATAATGTCTCAACTGCCTTGCGATTGTTCTTGTTTAAAGCCACTCCGTAGACAACACCCGTTGAATGTCAAATGATAGTAATGGAGTTAACGAAAAAATAAGGGTCACTTCTCCCCACTCTGAACTTAATTGAGAATACTAAGTATATTCTTGTAGGATTTCAGTTCTAAAAGAATTTTAGCCAATCTTATCTCAATCAACCCCAAACACCATTATTTTCATAATATAGGTCCCTATTGCACAGGATGTTGTGTCCTAATCCTGCAGCACCGCAGAGTTCAGAAGTAGCATTTACATATCATAATAAACCACAATTTATAAACCATGGTTTGAGTAAACTCCAGTTTACTGTGAATCCTGGATGCAGGGTGTCCAATGAACAATTCTTCCATTTATAAACTATTAACGAAAATATTTTATATTGTTTCAGGGAAAGCCGGCTGGAGAATTTCATTGTGTGTGTGTTTCTGTCTATCGATCGTTGTTGTTAGCCATTCAGTCATGTCCAACTCTTGACGATTCTATGGGCCAGCTCTCCACGTTTTCCAATCTTGTGCTGTTCCTTTGAGTCGTTCCATGCTCAGGCTCCTGTTGACTTTTATGGTGACTAGTAGCCACCATGTTCTTTGGTGGCCCAGTTTCCTTTTGCTGCTAACCAATCCATGCATAATTGCTTTTTCTAGTGAGTTCTTTCGCATGACAGGGCCGAAATAAGTCGGTCACAGTTTTATGATTTTTTACACACACACACAGACGACACACACACAACACATATTTAGAATAAATGCTAGATACTGATCATTTGTCTGCCTAGCTACAGAGTCCCTCTTGCTCCGCTTGGCACTTATGCACAAATATTTTGCCTACTCAAAACCTTTATTGGCATAAGAGATAAAATACAACATGCAGCATAGCGTCTCAAGATAGCAGGAGGGGGTAGTACATTCCGAATTGCCTTAATATGAGCCTCTCATCCTAGATACCTCATAAAAAAAATTTGCTACAGGTTCAATAATTTCTATATTATGAGAAGACAATAATGGCTTTATACTCATCAGATTGGCCCAACAACACACACACCAACAACACATATTTAGAATAAATGCTAGATATTGATCATTTGTCTGCCTAGTTACAGAATCCCTCTTGCTCTGCTTGGCACTTATGCACAAATATTTTGCCTACTCTAAAATATTGCATAACTGAAGCCTGACATACCTCTCATTTGAAATGTATTGTTTTGTTTAAAACACAGGGAAAGAACAGTCAGTTTCAATAGGAGCTGGGTGGGGATCCACATTTAAAAAAACAATTTTTCATTTCCTGGGTTAAATATTTCCTTTGGTGGTTTCACCACTCCCCTACATGATTATTCACACTGGAGAATCACCTCTGTGAAATGCCAAAGAGAAAAGTACTTTGAACTGGGAATAGCTGCTTCCACAGTGCATCTCTTTCAAGGCAAGGACCCAGAACTCCTCTGGAATCAGTCAAAATACAACATTCAGACATCCTGGGCAGATTCTGGGGAGGGTGGGATATCAGCCTTTAAAATAAATAAACTCCACACTCTTAAGACACTCAACCATCCCTCAGCAGCCTGCTTGGTGTAGTGGTTAAGTGCGTGGACTCTAATCTGGGAGAACCAGGTTTGATTCCCCACTCCTCCACTTGCACCTGCTGGATGACCTTGGGCAAGTGATAGTTCTGGCACAGCTGTTCTTGAAAAAGAGCAGTTTCTGCCAGAGCGCTCTCAGCCCCACCTACCTCACAGGGTGATTGTTGTGGGGAGGGGAAAGGAAAGAAGTTTGTAAGCTGCTCTGAGACTCTTTTGGGTAGTGAAGGGCCATGGGGTATAAATCCAATCTCTTCTTCTTCTTCAGGCACAACTCTGGAAAGCGCTGAAAAATGCTACCACTATAATGAAGGATGTCCCATGAAGGTATTCACCGTAAAGTTTGGCTGTTTTGACTATTGTGAGCAGCGTTATTGCTACAGTTTTGGCTAATCGGATCGGTGACCGGAGAGGGTGAGTGGGTGGCTGGTTTACAAGGAGCACTGGATGGTCTCCAATGCCCTGGAATTTCTCACTAGCCTCTGGAATGCAATAACCACCCCAGTTCAGGCGGGGGATACTAGGACAGCTGGAAGCACTTTTAGACTGAAGATAGGAGTGACAGAGCTGAGAGCCTGTTATCTATAACGAGCTGTTATAATGATAATTGGAGCTTTAGGGTAGAGCCCCTCCATCGGATTGTGTGTTTACTCCTGCAAGCAGGTTTCTAAACAGCCATTTGCTGACTTGGCCAAGAAACAACTGCAAGGAGGCAACTAGACAGAAATTTATCTGTAAACTTTACCTTAGCTGCTATTGTGGCACAAGGAAATACATTGTGTGCAGACAGGCCTAGAAGCTTCACAGAGTAGTTGTAGCCAATGGGCTCGGAAGGGTGTAACTCTGCTTAAGACATCTAATACAACATCTTTAATCACGGCCACCATGAGGCATGCGGGGTTTCAATAAAACATGACTGTTATAACCTGTTTGGCAGGGCGGTCCAGATACTGCCAGAGCAGCGCCTGCTTGACCCTGTGCCTCCTCCAAAGGAATGGAGCCCGGCACCATCTCAGACTGCACCGTGTCATTTGCAGCTATTTCCCCATTGCTTCATGGAATTGTGGGTGTGATAATGGAGCTGTTACTAAGCTCTCGGCGTTGCCTCACTTCTTTGCCAGCCTCGCTTTGCCGTAAGTGCTGCTGCAATGCGGGGTGGGGGTGGGTGGGAGTCCCCCCCCCATGCCTGGTATATGCAGTATCCTACTTACAGCTGCAAATAAAACGCTGAACCAGAGTCATGTATATCGCTTCCTGACAAAGGTCACAACTAGGAGAGAGGTTGGAGAGCCGTGATGTTGCCTCCTGTCTCTTTTAATTTCTATACTTAGGAGTTGGGGGCATGGGACTGTGCCGACAGAAAGAGGAAGGGGAGTTTAACCCCGCCCCCACTTGTCCCATTTGTCAAATGTACATCAGCTCCCAGGAGGCGCTATCTGCCTGAGCAGAGAAAATCAAAACAAAGCTTGAGTCCAGGGGCCCCTTTAAGACCAACAAAGTTTCATTCAAGGCATAAGCTTTCGTCTTGGTCTTAAAGGTGCCACTGGACTCAAGCTTTGTTTTGCTGCTTCAGACCAGCATAGCGACCCACCTGCATCTACCATACAGGAAAGGTTGTTCCAGCACTGCAGATCCCAATCCAAACTGGTCCCTCCTCTTATCTGGCTGTTATTTACGAAGTTTAACAAGACGGGAGATCAAGAACGGGCTGTGGCTCAGGGGAAGAGCCTTTGCTTTGCATGCAGAAGGTCCCAGGTTCAATCCCCAGCATTTCCAGTTAAAAGGACCAGAAGAAGAAGAAGAGATTGGATTTATACCCTGCCTTTCACTCGGAGTCTCAGAGCGGCTTACAAACTCCTTTCCCTTCCCCTCCCCACAACAGACATCCTGTGAGGTAGGTGGGGCTGAGAGAGCTCTTTCGAGGACTGCTCTTGAGAGAACAGCTCTGACAAAACTATGGTTTGCCAGCAGCTGCAAGTGGAGGAGTGGGGAATCAAACCCGGTTCTCCCAGATTAGAGTCTGCGCACTTAACCACTACACCAAATTGGCTCTCTCAGGCGGTAGGTGCAGTGAAATTTCTCACCCTGAGATGCTGAAGAACTGCTGTGTAGACAATACTGAACTTGAAAGACCAATGGTCTGATTCTGTATAAGGCAGCTTCACGTGCTCATGTGTTACAGAGAAGGGGCTATAGCTCTGTGGCAGAGCCTCTGCTTGGCATGCATGAAGCTCCCAGGTTCAATACCCTGCGTCTCCAACTGAAAGGACTCTGGGGAGCTGCTGTCAGTCTGAGTCGACGACACGGACCTTGATGACTGGCGATCTGATTCAGTATAAGGCAGCTTTCTGTGTTCAAAACTGGAAGTTCTTACTTCAGAAATAAAACGGGGCCAAGGAAACTATTCAAGAATCATGGCTATCAAGAACACCACAAGCAGAAGACAAAGAGCACTGACAACACAGATCTAGTAACCAGTGTCCCCTCTAAGCTGAGTGAGTGTGAGCTAGCTCACAGTTTTTCAGCCTCTGGCTCACACGGTTTTGTCTTCGCTCAGGAAGGATGGCTCCAGAGCAAACTGATTTCTGCAGCAGCCAAATCGCTCGCTCACAACTTTAATGCCAGTAGCTAACAAAGGAGTATTTTTGCTCACAGGACTCCACAGCTTAGAGGGAGCATTGCTAGTAACCCTTAGAGAAGTCAGCCCTGCAGACCCATCTAAAGTGGAATTTTGAGAAGCACCACTTTTAGTGAACTCTTAGTGCAAGTTTAGAACCAGCAAAGGCCTACCACTGGCAAATCTGAAAAAGAGAAAATACAAGGTGGTGCTAATACAAGGATTGGCTCCTTGGGACAACCAAGTAAACAGCTTTGATCTGAACTGTTATTAGGACACAGCTCTTGTGCTGTGGCTTTATGGAGGGTCTGGACTGCTGTTTTTGAATTTCATTAGGTGCCTTGGTTTGAAAAACAGGATGTAAACAGCAGACACAGCAAACTCTGGCTAGCACTGTAGCTAGTGTCTAAGACTTAGCCAGAGAAAGGAGAGAAAGTTCACACTGGAGAAGAGTGTTCCACTCCTCTTAACGATGGCCAGAAAGTCAGGGATGTTACATCTGCACCAGCCCTTAGCTACTACTCTCCATCACAATGCAGAACAACGACAACAAAGCACAAAATTTTAAGCTTTACCCAGAACGGTAAAGTGGGAATAAACTAAACCAGGAAGAAAAGTATTCCAGTTGCAGAATCTAGAGGTATAGCGCACATTTCTAGGGCACACGTGTTTTGGGGGTTGATTGTAACAGTTTTAAAATGTGATTTTTATCACACGTTTTGAATTGTTTGCTGCCTCGGTGGCCCTCGGAAGGGCAGGAAGGAGGGATACAAAGTTTGTCAATAAATAGAATAAATAAATTTCCAGAGCCTTCGCTTAATGCAAAATTAACAGACTACTTTTCGATGTTAAAATTACACCTGATACACCTCTCCTGGAAATTGTCTATGGCAAGAGTAAGAGCAAAGCAACCACAGCACTGATACTTGATTTAATGTCCTTGGGTCAGCGACCCGCCCCCCCCCTTTTACCTTTCTGGTTCTTTCCGTTTTACTTTTTCCTTCCTGAGGAAGCGAGCCTTCTTCAGGGGGCAGGGTTAAACGCAGTCGACAAACATTGGCCTAGAAGAAAGACAAAACTTTACTTTCATTATTTTAAGAACATTCCATTCTTTGTTAGAGAACAAAAAGTTACTTTCAAACAGACAGTTCGTTCGTCAAGGGGAGAAAACCGACAATAAAACACAAAGCCAAGGATAATTTTACATCTCAGATGACCAAATGCTGTTGAAAGATGTGAAGGGACCCAACACACACTGAAGGACAACCCATGAGCAGCATCGCCCCCCCCCCATGGCAGACTCATTCACAAATAAATAAACTGAAATCATCATCATAAAAGACTCGGATGGAGCAATGTGTATTTCTAATTTTATAAATAAAAAAGCAACACTGGAAGAAAGAACCACATTGATCTATAATTGGTGCTTTACTGCATGACTTCAGAAGGGAGGTGCTCCTATGCTGCTGTTTTGGAAAACGTCTGGACTGTTTTGAACCATCTGCTTTCAGCACGGCAGAAGCCTTGAGTTTTTGGCCTGAGACATCCCCCTACCCCCCATATCCTGGTGAAAAAATGGGTTAGATAACCTTGGGCTTTGTTTGGTGCCACTTGAGTTGGCTGTAATATATAAGGTTAATACATAGCTTTTGCTTTCAGATTTTAAAGAGAAAACCAAACACTCAGAAGAACTAATATTGGAGTGCTGATTCAAAATCATGTATCGTGGCTCCTGATTGGGGTGGAAAGGCAGCAAAAAATGTTTCGAACAAATTAATAAATGTACAGATATTCTTCGCAGCCAAGTTGCAGCTGAGTTGCAGTGACCCTTCATGGGGTTTTCAAGGCAAGACACATTCAGAGGTGGTTCGCCATCGCCTGCCTCTGCGTAGCAACCCTGGCATTCCCTGGGGGTCTCCCACCCAAGTGCTGACCCTGCTTAGCTTCTGAGATCTGACAACAAGATCCAGCTAGCCTGGGCCATACAGGTCAGGGCAGAGACAAACAGAGGCGGTTTCCTCATTGCCTTCCTCTGCGTAGCAACCCTGGACTTCCTTGGTTGGTCTCCCACCCAAATGCCAACCAGGGCCGACCCTGCTTAGCTTCTGAGATCTGAGGAGAGTGGGGTAGCCTGGGTCAAGGAGGCAAGAAACAAACAGAGGTGGTTTGCCATGGCCTGCCTCTGCGTAGCAACCTGGGACTTGTTTGGTAATCTCCTATCCAAAAACTAACCAGGACCTTGCTTAGCTTCTGAGCTCTGACAAGATTGACCTAGCCTGGGCCGTCCAGACCAAGGTACGTTTTAAATAAGCAAATAATACTGAATAAATTTATAATACCTCCATATTAAGTGTGGATGGAAAATACAATAAATATAATATTAAATAGATTAAATAGAACAAATCGGTATCCTGGGTCTTAGGTAAAGGTTTCCCTTGCTCGAAAGCCAGTTGAATCCGATTCTAGGGTCGCGGTGCTCATCTCCGTTTCCAAGCCGAAGAGCCAGCGCTGTCCAAAGACGTTTCCGTGGTCATGTGGCTGGCTTGACTAGACGCCAAGGCCCACAGAACGCTGTTACCTTCCAACCGAAGCGGTCCCTATTGCTTTCGAACTGCTAGGTTGGCAGGAGCCGGAGCCAGAGACGGGAGCTCACTCCATCATGCGGCACTTGGGTTACGAACTGCCGAACTACAGACCTTCCAGTCTGCAGTACAGCACCTTAACCACTTGAGCCATATGACAAATTCTGCAGTCTTGGAAATAACCATAGTTTCGTGGTGTCTGGATTTTTTTTTTTTAATCTATTTTAAGGTTTTGTGGGCAAGAGTATTTTGGTCACATCCTCACGAGGCAAACATTTATAAACAACGTTGCAGTCGCTGAATGGTTTAACTTTAGTGCGTGAGACAAATGTCAACCTCCCTTCCTATTTTCAGCATCAGCGTGTTGCATGAACAGAGATCCCATGTGTTCCAAAACGCCAGAACCGTTCTATTCCAAAGACAAGCATTATCAGCCAATCTCCAAATTCCATCCCCTAGGGCCCACAAAGAATGTGCACTCTGGCATGATAACAGCCTGTGTTCTCAAGCTAGTGGAAAAGCTACTTAGAGATAGATGACTGAGCGAACACTCATTTTAATGAGATCTTACCAGAGTTCTAGCACAATGCGAACACAGCCGCCAAGATCTTATCTTAATTATGAGACTTATCAAAAATAATTTAAATACTTTTCGTTGCTCGACTAATGTTTTGATAACTGCCAGTATCCAAGGTGGCAACAGAAACATCAAAGTTACTCATGCCTTTGGGCCATTTCACACATTAGGCAGAGACTGGCCAAGAGCCACTGTGGTGTAGTGGTTAGAGTGTTGGACTAGTATCTGGGAGACCCAGGTTCGAATCCCCGTGGAAACTCACTGGGTGACCTTGGAGCAGTCACACTCTCTCAGTCTCCCCCACTTTAAAGGGTTGTTGTGAGGATAAAATGAAGGCGAGAAGAATTATGTAAGTTGCTTTGGGGCCCTGCTGGGGAGAAAACGAATCAAATTAAATAAATAAACCCAGGTCACCTTTGACAGTGAAAACCACAACCAATAGTTTCCTGGAAAAACTGCTGGAAATAGCATCAGTGCTACAACAAAAACAAATATGCTTTCAACCCTACCCTAAAAACACCCTGCCTAAGCACTACTCTAACCCAACGGGACTCGAAATACGGCCATCCACAAGCCACTTAAGCTGGTATACCTGAATTCAAATCACTTTGCGGAGCAGTCCTAAACAGAGTTACACCATTTTAAGCCCATTGATTTCAATGGACTCAGAAGGGTGTAACTCTGCTTAGAATGGCAGCATAAAGTTCTTTTGACTTCAGCTGCGAATAAAATAAAGTCCAAGAACAGACTCGCTTTGATCACACCGTCTGGACTTGCAACTAACAACATAGATTGGGAAGAGTGTGTCAAAAACAGCTTCCAGATGAAACAGAGAATACTCAAAGCTGTAGGGCCTTGATCCACACAGCTCCTGATGTGAGCATTTGGTAGCATGTAGCAATTAGCATCTGCATCACTGCCATGGACAGAAACCTGCTACCTCAAATAGATTTCCTGTCCCGGATCAGGCACAATCCCCTGGAACCTTTCCTGTGCAATAGTCCCTCAGAAATTAACGGGAGACGCACAAGAAAACAGTAGCCATTCATTTCCATGGAGTGCACACAGCAAAACTTTCTAACAGATTACATCCCAAATCCTCAAGAAGCCCAACAGAGCTCAGGGATTTTTCTTCCAAGCTGTTTTTCTTTATCAAATCACATGCAAATTACATGTGATGTGTTCCTTAAAAGATTCCCTTTTCCATGTAAAGTTTTACTGGCAACAGTATTGTCAAAGGAAAATTAATTTGTAAGCCATAGGTCTCTGTTTCTGTATAAGTGGGAAATCGATAGCTCTGGGCAGACCTGTTTGGTGAAATGCTCCCCATTTTTGTGCAGAGATCAGGGTGTTCCTTAAAGGGAGTCCTTTGTGAGGCGCCAGGGCTGCTGCAGAAACCCTTGCTGATTTGGCTTCCATAGAACAGAAATAGGGGAACTTAAGCCTGCTTTGACGAAGGAATGCATTCAGGATATGCTCCTTAGAAAGGCTGGTTGTTGCCTTCCCCGTTTGTTGCCCTTTAGAGGGAAAAGCCACAAAAATTAATACACACAGGTTGCTCAGGGGTGGTCTTAGCCAAAGAGGAAGAGAGGCAGCTGCCCTGGGACCTGTACAAAGGGAGAAGCCCAACTGCCCTAGGCATTCCCAAAGGCAGGGTAAAGAAGAGTCAGCTTCTATCACCGCTTGCACCTGCCTCACGGCACCTGGCTTTGGGAAACAGCAGGAGCACCTTGCAAGGGATAAGGGTGGTGGTGGCAGTGATCCTGGAACTCCCTCCTGGACTTTTGCCCAGGGCCCCAGAAGAAGAAGAGATTGGATTTATACCCCGCCCTTCACTACCCAAAGGTGTCTCAGAGCGGCTTACAAACTCCTTTCCCTTCCCCTCCCCACAACAGACACCCTGTGAGGTGGGTGGGGCTGAGAGAGCTCTGACACAAACGGCTCTTTCAGGAACAGCTGTGCCAGAGCTTGTGACTGACCCAAGGTCACATCAGCAGGTGCAAGTGGAGGAGTGGGGAATCAAACCCGGTTCTCCCAGATTAGAATCCGCACACTTAACCACTACACCAAACTGGCTCTCTACAAGCACCCCTGAAGTGTTACCGGTATACCACCCACCACATTAGAAGTCTTTGTTATGCAGATATAGGGAAACCTACACAGTTTTGAGAAGGAAGAGGAGGAGATTGGATTTATACCCCGCCCTTCACTACCCAAAGAGTGGTTTACAAGCTCCTTTCCCTTCCCCTACCCACAACAGACACCCTGTGAGGTAGGTGGGGCCGAGAGAGCTCTTCTGAGGACTGCTCTTGAGAGAACAGCTCTTAAAGAACTTGTGACTGACCCAAGGTCATACCAGCAGCTGCATGTAGAGGAGTGGGGAATCAAACCCGGTTTTCCCAGATTAGAGTCCATGCTCTTAACCGCTACACCAAACTGGCTCTTTGAGAAGGAATAACTGGCAGCACAAATAGAAGTACTGTCCTGTCTCCACAAGCAATGCACCCGCTTGGGGCAGCAATCTTTTGGGGGACCCCAACAAAGTCACCAGTCTGACAGTGGAACCTCCGAATTCCCCAATGCACTGAAAGAGACCCCAGGGACTGTTTCTCAAACTGCAAAGGGCATCTGCTCATGGCAGCAAGAATAAACACAGACATTCTCTCTCAGCATTTTTCATTATCTGCTTCTTATCTCATCCCAAGGAAGAAGCCCGTAGTAATTTGCTCTCTGCAACTTTACTTGCTCTGATCAGCAAGCATTAAGCTGCACGCCAGAAATGAATTCAGAATTTGAGAGAGGGAGAAGTATTCAAATCTGCAACCAGGATGCATTTAGATCCCATCTAGCAAGGTGGAGAGCTTGAAGCCCTTGGAGGGAAAAGGTCCAACAGCTTGGAAGGGAAGGGCAGTTCCTTCCTTCCAAGGAACATAAGAGGAGCTGTGTAGGATCAGGCCAACGGCCCATCCAGTCCCACACTCTGTGTTGCACACTGGACAAAACCCAGGTGCCATCAGGAGGTCCACCAGCAGGGGGAGAACTCCAGAAGCCCTCCCAATCTTGCCCCCCAAGCACCAAGAAGACAGAGCATCACTGCCACAGAGTGTTCCCTCTATTCCTTGTGGCTAATAGCTACTAAGCAGATAAGAGAAGCCATGTCAGATCAGGCCAGTGGCCCATCCAGTCCCACACTCTGTGTTGCACACTGGACAAAACCCAGGTGCCATCAGGAGGTCCACCAGCAGGGTGAGAACTCCAGAAGCCCTCCCACTGTTGCCTGCCAAGCATCAAGAAGAGAGGAGACTGGATTTATACCCTGCTCTTCACTACCTGAAGGAGTCACAGAGCGGCTTACAATCTCCTTTCCTTTCCCCTCCCCACAACAGAGAGACACCCTGTGAGGTAGAGCTCTTTCGGGGACTGCTCTTGAAAGAACAGCTCTGAGAGAACTTGTGACTGACCCAAGGTCACACCAGCAGCTGCATGGGGAGGAGTGGGGAATCAAACCCAGTTGATTCCAGTTTGGTGTAGTGGTTCAGTGCGCAGACTCTAATCTGGGAGAACTGAGTTTGATTCCCCACTTCTCCACTTGCAGCTGCTGGATGACCTTGGGCAAGCCTTAGTTCTGTCAGAGCTGTTCTTTTAAGGGCAGTTCTGGAAAGAGCTCCCTCAGCCCCACCTACCTCCCAGGGTGTCTGTTTTGGGGAGGGGAAGGGAAAGGAGTTTGTAAGCCGCTCTGAGACTCCGAGTGAAAGGCAAGGGGAATAAATCCAATCTCTTCTCTCTTCTTCTCATAGAGTCCATTGCTCTTAACCACTACACCAAACTGCCTCTGGTGGGGCCAAAACCCCAGAAGCTCTCCCGCTGTTGTCCCCCCAAGCACCAAGAAGACAGAGCATCCCTGCCCCAGACAAGAGTGTTCCCTGTGTCCTTTGTAGCTAACAGCCACTGGAGGATCCTGTACCCTCACACCAGCCCTGTGAGGTAGGCAGGGCTGAGAGACTGAAGGCAGCCCCAGGGCACCCAGAGAGCTTCAAATCCAGAGCTCCGAGGTCTTGGTCCAGCACCCCAAGAACTATACACAGCCAGCCGTGCAGGCATCCCAAATGGGCAACAAGTTCTTTAGGGACACCAGCACAGGCAGAACAGTCCACTTTCTCCCTCTCTCCACACCTCCCAGGGCTTTATTCTCCCCCCCCCAAAAAAAAAAAAACACCACACCACCCTGCAGAGATGGCCACTTCAGAACCCATTGTTTTGTTTCCTTCACTTACACCCCCCACCTTTCTCCCCTATGGGGAAACATCATTCTCTTGCCCTCCATTTTGTCGCTCACAACAGCCCTGTGAGGTAGACTATTAGGCCAAGACAGAGAGAAAGAGTCTGTGAGCAGCCCAAGGCCTCCCAGCGAGCTTCCACAGCCGAGCGGGGACCAGAACCCGGGGTCTCCCAGCCCCCAGCCCCACACTCTTAACCACGAGACAACCCAGAGGGAGGAGGGAAAGGCCGAGGCGACCAGAGCCGCCATCTCCGCAGCCCCCTCGAGGGCACGTCTCCCCGAGGACTGCGCATGCGCCGGGCCCCCGACGCCCCCCGCACGCCGCCGCGCTCCTTCCCGCCCCCTTCTCCCGCTGGGGCCAACTCTGCCCCCCGCGCATGCGCCTTCTCGCGTCTCTTTCCCCCCTCCTCAAGACGGCGCCCTCCGCTCCGGCTGAGGTAAGTTCGGTCTCCTCCCGCGAGCCCCGGCCGGAGCGAGCCTCCCTCCTCCTCCTCACCCGCTTCTTGCCGCCGGGCTCGTCCTCGTCCGGCTTCCTGGGGGTGGTGGTGGTGAGCGTGACGCCGGAGCTGTAGCGCAGCATCGCTCCCG